CTAGAACAAAACCTGGGCCCCAAATAACCAGGTCTTCCCCTCCTCATTGGCCCAACAGCTTGGAGCCAGGGGAGACTTTGGTTAACCACTTGACCCAGGAACTCTGACCCACATACTGGCTCTCCCACCAGCTCCAGATAGAGCCTCCAGCTAATGCCAACAAAGCTTTCAAAAGCTCAGGAAGAAAACAAGCATTTGGAGGGAGAGGTGGCTCAGACCACTCAATTTAACACATGGGCACAGTTCCCTGATGGATCAAAGCTGGGCAGCTGGCCCGAGCCCTGTCCTCAGCTGGGGGTGGGACAGGGAGGCCATAAATATTCATGGAGACAGAAGAATTCTAATTCTGTCATCCGGATCTCCTACCTTCTGCCCTGCACAGCGTTCAGCCCCCATCTCCAATGGAAACATTCCCAGCTCCTATGAACCTGGAGAAGGGGCTCCCATCCACTGATGGACAGTCAGACATGAGAGACCATCAGGAACTGGCAGAAGAAAATATGTGCTGGTTAATTCTACAGTGTAGACTGTGAGTCTGGAAGTTGGATTCACCATTCAGGCCAGCCCCTAACATTGGGGACAGTTGAGGTCAAGAATAGAAATGTCTAAATATTTATAAGCTATAAGACAGATATATCCAAATTCATCTACATTCCTTATATTAGCAACTCCTTACAGCCCTGCAGGCCTGAGAGTGCATTCACCAGTTGAATTTGAGCTAGAAGCTGGGGCTGGGGGACACATACAGGTTCCCTATGGGCATACCCACTTGTATTCAAGAACCTCTTGCTCTGTAGGGAGTATGTGGTTGAAGGGGAACCTGAGTCAGCTCACCTAAACTCAAGGCACTGAGTACCATTTACCAGTGAAATGTAGACATTTCTTACTCATAATCATATTTCCAGCTCAAATCAGCTTTGCAAGATGGTTTTACATCCATTTTTTTTTCCAAATAAAATGCCTATTTTTCCAGGGGGGAAAAAGTGAGGTTAGAGAAGAAAATAGACTTTTGCATAGTCTCAGAGAGTGACAGACTGGACATCTTTTTCATTATGTGTGTGTGTGTGTGTGTGTGTATATATATATATATATATTTTTTTTTTTTAGTGTTGGTACTGGAGATGGAGCCCAGGGTCTTGTGCATGCTATGCAAGACTCTACCACTGAGCTACATCCCCTGTCTTTTTTATTTTTTATTTTGGGACAGGGTCTCACTAAATTGTTGAGGCTGGCCTTGAACTTGTGATCCTCCTGCCTCAGCCTCCCAAGTAGCTGGGATTACAGGGGTGTGTCACCACACCTGGGGATTTTGAACTCCAAAGACCATCTTGACTCTCCTAGGCCAAGGTGTGGTCCCTGCTAGAAGCCAACAGCTCTTTGGCAACTCCTTCACTTATAGGCTTGTCCTGTGGCCCAAGAATAGAAGTTCCAGATGCTGTAAAGCCCCAGAAAGAGATGCCTTTGATCTGGGACCTTGATTTTACCTTTATAACCTGAAGTCAGAAAGGGAAAAAGGCAAAAGGAAGATAGGCTCTGCTCTGTATCCACCTGACTCTTGCCTTGCATCAGAGCTGGGATCAAATTCTTCTTCAAACAGTAAACTCACTCTGTGACCCTGAGTCTCCATTTCCTCATTGACAAAATGAAGATTTGAAAATGGACCTTTAAAAAAGGAGAATTAGGGGCTGGGGATGTATCTCAATGGTAGAGCACTTGCTTCACATGCACAAGGCACTGGGTTGGATCCCCAGGATCCCCAGCACTACCACCCCCCCAAAAAAGAAAGAATTAGTTTAAAAATAAAATTCCATTTACAATAGTATTAAAAATAAGCCAAGCTGGGTGCTATGGCACATGCCTGTAATCCCAGCAACTTGAGAAGTTGAGGCAGGAGGATCATAAACTCAAAGCCAGCCTCAGCCATTTAGGAAGACCCTAAGCAATTTAGCGAGATCCTGTCTTTTTTTAAAAAAGGGGGGGAGGGGGATTGGGCTGGGGAATGTTGCTCAGTGGTTTGAGGCCCTTTGGGTTCAATCCCTATTTAAAAAAAAAAAAAAAAAAGAGCAAGGCCCAGTGGTGCATGCCTGTAATGAGACTGAGGCAGGAGGATGGCAAGTTCAAGGCCAGTCTCCCCAACTTAGTCAGACTCTGTCTCAAAATAGAAGATAAAAAGGCTGGGAGGTAGCTCAGTGGTAGAGCACCCTGGGTTCAATCCCCCATGCTGCAAAAATAAAATTAAATACTCAGGAATAGGCTTAGTCAAGGACTGAAGCCTTATACACTGAAATATACAGAACATTATGAAAAGAAATGAAAGGCAACAGAAGACCATTTCCAATTCTCCTCCTTGGAGACCCCACCTTGACACCAGGTATGCATATTACACTGATGTGACTCAACCTCCACTCAACTGGTCTAGGAAATCCCCATAGAATTGGGGGACCTAGAGCCTAACCAGGTTCTCTCCTGCTCCAGATACCCAGGTGGCACCTGTCTGTGAGTCACTCTCCCTCACCTTGCTTCCTGGAATAACCTGGGCAGGGAAGAGGGAGTGAGGAGATGCCTCCATCCCTGGGCCTCCCAATCACAGGGTACTGGCTTTTGTTATACCAGGAATTGCAAGCACTTCTTCCCAGCCTGGAAGTCCTGGGTTTTGCTGGTGCCCTCAGGGCCAGTCCAGGGCCTAGCCCAGGGGAGGACATGGAGTACAATCACTGTCCCAGAAGAGTCTGCTCTCAGCTCTCTTCTTTCCTGGTTGAGCCTCTCCCAACTTTCTTCATCTACAAAATGATGACAAAAAAACCTTCACAGGGTAGTTGTGACAGCCAAATGAAGCAATTTGCTTAACAGCCGGGCACTCTCTTACCTACTGTTCTCAGAAACATGTGTTAATAAGCAAATCAGCTATATACCAAGCTAGTTAGATCTCTTTTGGAAGAAGCCAGGGGTGGTTGGAGAGAAAGTACCGCAATTGGAATTGAGGGTTTGGGTCTCTGGTCTCAACAGTGTCATGTACAATCTCAAGTAAGTCTCTTGCCAGCTCTGAGCCTTGGAACTTTTATCTGCAAAATGGGGTGCCCTGACTACCTTGAGGCATTGCTGTAAAAAGGAAGTAAGATTATGTGGGGTGGGGTGACAGAGAGTTTGGTAAACAGTAAAGCATTGGAAAATTGAAATAGACTTTTCAAATCAGAAAGGGCACTGCACGTTTCGGTCATCAGCCACCTGAGCTCAGCTCCAAATCTGGGCCCTAAGGGGGCATAAAAAAAAAAAAAGAAAAGAAAAAGCTCTCTTCTTTAACAAAACCTTATTCACAGGCCTGGGATGAGGAGAGGGAAGTCCCTGGTCCCCACAAAAGGACAAACACAGGATCTCAGTCTCTCATCATATCCCTTTTCTTCCCCAACACCAATCAAGAAGAAATCCAGTTCTGGAGGCACGTTTTATCATTAACACCATGGACTAAGGATCTCTTACCCAAACCTTCATTGATCAGATGGAGAAACTAGGGGTTGCCCAAAGTGACAACAGTGTCAGGGTTGGATCGGGGCTTGTGGATCACTGCTCATTCTCTACAAACTACAGCATACCACTTTATCATCAGGTGTTCAATGAATGTTATTGGTATGTTCTTACTACATGCCAAACTCTACTAAGGGCAAGGAGAAAACGAATTCCTAAGGCATTTCCTTATCCTAAAGCATTTACAGTAAGAATTACAGTGTCCTTATTAGCAGTGCATGTTGGCTCACATTGGTATATCATTTTACAATTAACAAAACACTTCCTATCCAGCTTCTTACTTCGTCCTCTCCACAAACCCAAAAGATCAGTATTTTATCCCCAATCTGCAAAAAAGGAAAGAGGCTCTTGAATTATCCAAGGACCCAGCTTGTCAGCAATCAAAACTCTGGGTACTCACCAGAGGCCCACAGCCAGTCACCTCCAGAGGCGACTTCCCTTTCTGGCCAGGTTGTTGGCTCGCAAAGAAAGACAAATGTCTCTTTATTTAGCTTTCCTGGCAGAAACCGACCTACCCCATCCCAGGTTTTAAGCACCTGGGACCCAGCTGGGCATTTAGTTAGAGGTCATGAAAACCGCCTGGTGTTTAAGAGAGAGCCTGCTGTCCCTCAATCTTCCCTTCATTCCAGGTGAGTAAGCTCTGATCACTGGCCCCATAATTGGACTTTCTGACAATGAAGGAAAGGAGGTGCCAGCCTGAGCTTTGTCACTAGCAACCGAAATATCATGGCAAAACTAGTGGTGGGCCTGGTCCTTCGTACCAATATGCTGGTTATCTTCATCATCCCCCAGAGAAACCCAGCATTTTGTGAGTCCCTAAGTACCCAGCCCTGTACAAGACCCTTCCTCCTCTCCTGATAATCCCACCAGGGAGATGGCATTGGCCTCATTTAACAATTCAGGAAACTGCACAGAGAGGGGGGTATAACTTGACCAAAAAACACACAGCTAGTAAAGCAGATAGCATTCGGCTTCCTAAATCCAAGTAGCCCCTTCTCATCACCATCATCACCTCCTAGTGAGTCCTCTGAGGTCACCTCAGCTCTGCCTTGGTCTCAGAATACAAAAGAAGTGTGCTGGGCTCCCTGAAAAAGTTTGGTCACAAGATGTTCTTTCTGGGCCTAAGAAAGATGCCAAAGTAGTCCCTTAAAAACAGAAAGAGTGGGCACGATGGCACATGTCTGTGATCGCATTGACTCAGGAGGTTGAGGCAGGAGGATTGTAAGTTAAAGGCCAGCCTGGACAACTTAGCAAGACCCTAATGGAAAAATCACAGAATAAAAAATAAAAAGGACTGGGGCTATAGCTCAGTAGTAAATTGTCCTGGGTTCAATTCCCAGTACCAAAAAAAAAAAAAAAGAAAGAAAGAAAAGTAAAAACAGAACCACCCATTTGCAGCCAGTGGGCACAATCTTGGCCTCCTGAGGACATTTTCATAAACTTTCCCCTTTCCCAGCCGGACTGGGACCCCCCCTTACCTGTCACAGGACCAGTCATTAAGCCGAGGAGCCTGTCTCTCTGGGTCTGGGCCCTAGTTCCAGCCTCTATGCCGTCTTCTGGCAATTGCAGAAGTGAGGAAAAAGAACATATCACTGCCAAGTCACCCCCAGGAGGAAATGCAGTGACCCTAGGGCCTCTTCGACAGATGCCACAGGAACCTCCAAGCTGACCCACCAAGGCCCTGGGCACTAGGCAGAGCTTCTTGAGGAGCTAGGAGCGGGGTAGAGTGTGGGCAGCTCCGCAGGACCAGAGAGGCAAGGCCAAAGAGAGAGAAGCAAGAAAAGTATGAGGGGGTGTGCTCAGGAGAGACGGAAGAGTGAGAAAGAGGAAAAAGGAGAAGAGACCAAAAAACACTTAGCCAGCGGGGAGGGCGGGAGGGAGTCAGGAAGGAAAGGAGAGGGCCGAGGAAGAGATGGAGGGAGAAGGACAGAGGGAGGTAAACAGAAGTCCAAGAGAGGAATGAGGGAGCAAAGAGCAAGACCGAGGGAGTTAAGAGAGAGAGAGAGAGGTGGAGTGTGTGCCTGCAGATGCGTAAGTGCTCATCAGTGTCTGTGTGTCTCAGTGCGGGGAGAAATTGAGAGCCAGGGAGCAGGAAAGGGAGCGGCCACCAGGATATAGGAAGGATGGGAAGAGGGAGCTTGAAGCACTACTGTGGTCAGCAGCATGATTGGACAGGGCAGCCCTGGCGACCAAGAAACCCTGAGGCCCCCAAATCCTTGGGGACAGAGCACTGCAGGGCTCAGGGGAGGGCCCTGAGCTGGAGATTGGCAGCAAGACAGTTCATGGAGAATAGTGTGGGCAGTTGAGAGGGTGAACACAGGTGAACTTGTGGGGAGGGTGGAATTTAGGGGTAACAAAGTTTCTAATCCACTTATCCATGCATTTATTCAATCAACCAAGCAACATTTACTGAGAAGCCCTTGTGGTGGATACTGTCTAAGGAAACAAGTCCCTCAAATATAAGCTTATCTAATACTCCCTTGAGCAGAGAGGGAAACTGTGGCCCAGAAAGGACCAGGTCTCATAGTGAGGCAGGTGCAAAACAGTCAGGAGTGCAGGGTCCTGGCTCTTGATTCAGTGTCCAGCCTCAGCTCCACTCTGGTTGTCTGGGCTTGCCACTTCCTACTGTTCAGATCCCTTCTCCTGTTCCTTATCAAAGCCAAAAATGGCTCCTTTGACAGGTGTTTCAGCTCTAAAAACCAGAGCCAAAAGTCCAGTCATTCTCCCCAGCTCCATCCCCATCACAGGAAGACGCACTCAAACCACCCCCCACACACACTTGTAAATACCATCATGGAGATGATCACTCAGGTGCCCATTCTACTCTCCCTGTCACTCGCATCTGCCCCCACACACCTCCTTCCTCATTCTCATTCACCCACACTGTTCCACACATTCTTCTTAGGTCCTAAGACACACCCCAGACCTCAGTCAGAGATCTCCAAACAGGCTCAATTTGGTCGTCTCTCCTTGTCTCTCTTGCTCAAGGGCCCTGAGATGCAACATGACCTGGTCTGTTTGCTGCCTTTAACCTTCATGCAAACTATTTCCCTGGAAGACGAGGCCCCAGCTCTGCTTCCCAACCTGAATCATCCTTCCCCAAATGGCATTGTCTCCTCAGCCCTCCTTTGGCCTCCAAGACTGGATCAGCCAGCCTCCATCAGCCAATCTTCAGGACTCCCAGCTCAAGGTCCAGGACTGTTTGGCTCAGCCTGTTTTCCAATAGTCCCTTCCACATGTATACATGTAGCAACTGTGTATCAGGATCTTTTTTGAAATTAATAAGCAAGGTAGGCCAGGAACCGTGGCCCACCCTGTAATCCCAGAGGCTTGAGAGGCTGAGGCAGGAGGATCATGAGTTCAAAGCCAGCCTCAGCAACTCAGCAAGGCCCTAAGCAACTCAGTGAGATCCTGTCTCTAAATAAAATATACTAAAAAGGGCTGGGGATGTGGCTCAGTTG